AGATAGATAGATAGATAGATAGATAGATAGATAGATAGATAGATAGACAGATATAAGTGATAGCTAGACAGTATAGATTAGATACATAGATAGACAGATACATACATACATACATACATACATACATACATATAGGCAGGCAGGTGAGTAGAAAGATAGATTGTTAAGATGGATGAAAAGATGAAGGTTGTGAAGGGTGATAAGTTTGATGGATCAATAGATGGGTGGTTAAAAAGGTAGATGGATGGATGGATGGATGGATGGATGGATGGATGGATGGATGAAGAGATGAAGGGGTGAGCATGAGTAACCCAGAGTTCAGATTTTAGGGCAAAGTAAAAAATGTGATATAATCCAATATGGGACCTCTTACTCTCTCTACTTAGAACTTGTGTCTAGGCTCCAGAAGTTGGACCCACCCAGTGAGGGCGAGTTCCTGCAGGATTTGACCAATCCTAGTAACTAGTCAAAGTCAAACCACCCATCCCCGGGCTGGAGAGATGGCTCAGAGGTTAAGAGCACTGACTGCTCTTCCAAGAGGTCATGACTTCAATTCCCAGCAACCGCATGGTGGCTCACAACCATCTGTAATGAGATCTGGTGCCCTCTTCTGACGTGCAGGTGTACACAGAGAACATTGTATACAAAATTTAAAAAAAAAAATCCTTAAAATCACCTGTAAAAATAAAAACAAACACCCGTCCCTTATAGAAACCTGTGTTCAGCTCTAAACATACCTTTGCAGGTAGAGACAGCTCTCAGGGGCTTCCCTGGCCAACCTCACAACCTCAACATAACCTACTTGAGGCTTGGGATTTGATGCGGAGCTTGTGAGGCAGGGAAATCTGAGCCAGACCTTCAGACCTGTCACCTGGGACAGGGCAGGTCATACCAGGAGAAAATCCCAGAGAATTCTCAGGGGATGTCATTGATATATCTGAGGGCGCACAGGATCCAGTGGGCACAGATGACAACAGACCACAACAAGGCTTTAGCTCTGGTCTGTCCCTCACATGCCCATCTAGGAAATGGCAACCAAAGATAGCAGCTGGGAAGGAAGTGTGTAAGGTCCTGTCAACTATCCGGGGAAATAGAGGCTGTGATTCCTGCAAGAACCTGGGGGAAGCAGCTAAGCCCTCACACCCTTGAGCCACCAGACAGCCTGAGCAGCCTGGAATCCCAGAATCCACAGCATAGGGTTTGAACAGGCAGCCATGGTTACCAGGCAAAGGTAAGAATGAGTCAGCCCCTGAATGAGAGTCCCCAGTCCTGGAAGATTTCCATAGCAACATCCGGGAACCACATAAGGAAGGCAAAAGGCCAAATCGAAGTTTGAGTGCTTGCAGCTCAGCCCTTAGTACAGCATTCTCCTCCAGCAACATGGCCAGTCTGCCTTCAATGGCCACATCATTGAGACGTCGCTTTTCCCGAGACCGCTTGGCTGCCTCGTTGTTCTTTCTCCGTTTCTCCCAGTAAATTGTGTCCTTCTTCTCTTCTGGCATAAATTCCCTCTGCCGGCGCAAGGTTGGACCCCTGCGAGTACCCCAGAGTACATTGCTGTGACCCTGAGATATGTTGAGTAGGCCCAAGCTATCCACACTCATAGTTTCCTCAGCACCTGGGGAAGATTTAAAAAAAAAAAAATCTTAGAGTAGAGACAGGAGGCTGACCCAAATGACTCCCATCCCTCTGACTGGTTCTGTATCTACCAGCTCCACTGGAGGGTTAGATGGACCAAGAATTGGGCAGGGGATGTGTATGGATCCATAGAGGGATGCAATAAAGAAAAAATTGCTGGGGAGGGAGGGTGTCAAATGAGGCTTAGTCTTGATATGGCTTAAGAACACCCCAGTCATCATAGAGATGTGATTAAGAGCCGTCCCTTCGGAGGACACAAGTTCCTTCCAAAGAATTTTCCTTACCCCCAGAAGATCAGCCTATGCAAGAGCTGTGCAATAATCTCAGGTCCAGAGGAAGACAGTAGGAAAGATGTACCTAGAAAGAGAGAAATGTGTGACCATAGAGTTCCACTGGCCAAGCTTGTGGCTCAGAAAATCAGCAGGTAGGAGCTGAAGAGCTGGCAACGTGGTTAAAGAGCTTGCTGTGAAAACAGACATAGGGGCAGGACAACAAAACACTCCTGTCTCAAACAAAATGAAAGGTGAGGACCGACGCTCAAGTCTGACCTCTTACCACCACAAGTGCACAAGTGCACCATGGTACACATGCGCTCTCTTTCCCACCCTCTCTCACACACACACAATCATACACAAAAATCATTCAAAATAAAATAGTAATAAGAAGAACAAATGAGAAGTAACCAAGGCTCATGTGAATTGTGCCTGCCCGTCTGCACATCAGGTCCTCCCACACAACTGGTCGTTCATTACTGGCCACTCGTCATCTCTCCACCTCCCATCCAATTTTACAGCCATCCACTGTGCTTGTCACTTTTCACCTGTTCACATTTCCTGTTCATCTTCTGTGGTCTGAGGGCACCCTTAAGTTTTCATGTGTTTGGAATTAATGTGTGTGTGTCTGTGTGCATGCACATGTGCACATGTGGGCACTTAGGTGGATGTGGATGTGGAAGCAAGACATTAGCCTGGAGTGTCCTTCCTCAGACCTTCTCATTTATTACAATTTATTCAATTTGTATCCCAGCTGTGGCCCCTCCCTCATCTCCTCCCAGGTTTTTTTTACGTTCTAAAAAAATAATATTTAATTTTGTGTATGTATGTGTGTCTATATGTGTGAATGGGGATGGGTGCAGGTGCCAGCAGAGTCCAGAGGCATCAGATCTCCCTGGAGCTGGAGTGACAGGCAGCTGTGAATCTCTACATGTGGGTGCTAAGAACCAAAGTTGAGTCCTCAGTGAGAGCAATATATGGTGTTAATTCCTGATACATCACTTTTAAAGATTTGTTTTTATTATTATTTACATGTGTGTATCTGTGTGTGTGTAGTGAATTCATATACCCACCTATGCATGCCCGTGGAAGTCAAGAGGTATCACACTTGCTCTGCTATCACTCTCCAGCTATTCTTCTGAGGCAGGATCTCTCCCTAAACCTGGGATGGTGTCTCTGATAGGCTGAAAGCCAACCAGCCCTAGAATCCACATGCTGGAAGGAGACAAACCAACTCCTACCAGTTGTCCTATCGCCTCCCCATGTGCACTGTGGCATGTGCACAAACACACACACACACACACACACAAATAAACAGATGTAATTTAAAAAAGTGTTTAAGAAGAAGGAAAGCAGGAAGAAAAAGGGGAGAGAGAAAGAGAAAGACACAAACACCATTATCTTGGAGTGCACCTATACTCTTCTTGGGAGGCTGAGGTGGGAAGATCATTTCAGCCCTGGAATTTGAATCCAGCCTGGACATCACAGCCAAAGCAATATCTCAAAAACAAAATAGGTGGGTATTCTGGAATACAGTTTGACTGTAACTCCCACACTTGGGAGGGAGGCAAAGTAACCAAATGATGAGTTTGAGAACAGCCTGAGTAGCATAAAGAGATCTTGCATCAATTAATACTATAAGAAAACAAAGAAGGAGGGTGGACAAGGAAGACGAGGAGGAAGAAGAGGAAGTCACGGGAGAAAGAGGAGGCTAGAAAGAAGCAGAAAGAGGAAAGGGTGAGGAAGGAAAGAGAGAGGGAAAATTGGAGGAAGAGAGAATGAAGGGGAGGAGAAAAAGGAAAGAAGGAGGAAGAAAGAGAGAAGAAGGAAGAAGAGGAGGAAGAAAGGGGAAGAAACAGGAAAGAGAAGAGAGAGTGGGAGAAGAAAGAAGAGTAGGAGAGGGAAGGGAAGATGAAGGAAAAGGGGCAGAAAGAAGGAAGAGAAGGGAATAGGGAAAGAGAGCAGAAGGAAGGGGAAGGAAGAAAAAGAGAAGTTTTCAAAGTATAAAAGGCAACCAGAGCCAGCACATGCCCCTGTAAGAAGCTGAGCATTAGAAGGTAGCCAGAGAGGCAGACAAGTCAGTCCAAGCTGAGCTGAGCACTAGGATCTTATAAAAGCCCATGAGGCAGGCTAGAGATCTCAATGCCACGTCCTCTGCCTGAGTGCCTCCTGGCTAGGGCTGGATATAAGCCCTTAACTACTGATCCCTCTGCCTCCACAGGAACCCAGATGTGGGCAGCAGTTAGCTAAACTTCTGTTTTTATTTAGAGAAGATGCAGGGTGGTTTGGGCCTTCCTGTGGTCATAGCAGGAGAACTAACAGAGAGGGAGTAAAGTCATTCCTAGTGAAAGACCCAAGGCAGAATGAGATAACAGGAAAAGGGTCTGTCAGAGGCAGCATACAACTCCACTCTGGTCTCTGCAGCCTTCCAGGGTGGCAAGCAAGCAAACCTCTGCTTGGTTTCCTGGAGTAGCAGGAATCTTCCTCTTCCCAGAAGCAGGCTCTGTCCAGCCAAGCACACTCCAAGCATACAGCATATTTTGCTATACTAAGGCCACCTTCACTGGTGGGCTTATTTCTCAGTTATAGAAAGCTTACCCAGCATGCAACATAAATGAAAATACCACAACTATAATTCCAACTCTGGAGATGAAGGCTCTTGCCACCAAGTGTGATGACCTGAGTTCCATCCCCAAGACCCACATGGTAGAAGGAGAGAACTGACTCCCACAAGTAACACACGTATACTGTGGCACATGTCCATGTTTACATACATTCAAGCACACACACGTGTACACATTAAATAAATGTGACTTTCAAATATACTAGAGTAGCATAATGTTCTACATAAAAGTAGGGTAGCTGGGCAGTGGTGGCACACGCCTTTAATCCCAGCATTTGGGAGGCAAAGGTAAGTGAGTAACCTCTGAGTTTGAGGCCAGCCTCATCTACAGAGTGAGTTCCAGGACAGCGAGAGCTACACAAGGAAACCTTCTCTGGAAAAAAAAAAATTAGGGTAATTGTGTGAACAACTGAATTGGTACTAAGTATATGTAGCTAAATGTTCATTGATGATAGTTGGTTAACAGATGGTTGAGTATTTCAAAACAGCTACTAGGACAGATTTTAAATGTTCACAACACAAAGAAAGGATGGATGTAGGGCCAGAGCACGACTTTGTGGGTAGGTATGAGAACCTGCATTCGGAACCCAGAAACGCTAGGTGGTAGCTACACAGACACATGAAACCCAAGCATAGGATGAAGGCAAGAGGATTACTGGAGCTTGATGGCTCTCAGCCTAGCTCTAGGTTCAGTGAAATGCCCTGTCTCAATGCAAGAAGGCAGGGAAGAGAGGAGCAGGACACCCAGCATCCTCAAGACTCTACACATGCACCTGTAGGCACACCAGCTGCCAAGCCTGATGACTTGAGTTCAATCACAGAAGCCCTCATAGCAGAAGGAGAGAACCAACTCCCAAAAGCTGTCCTCTGACTTCCAAACACACCTACACAAGCACAGGCACTAAATAAATATAATTTTTAAAAGTATAGTATATTCCATAAGCATGAATAATTATTATTACCCATAACACACATAGATATTACACATCAATTTTAAATTTTTAATATTTTATTGCCATTTCATTATTTTATGTATGTGGGTGTTTTGCCTACATGTAAGTCTGTGCACCCCTCCTTCCCTGGTGTGCATGAAGGCCAGAAGAAGGCACTGGATCACCGTACCTGGAGTTACAGATGGTGATGAGCTGCTGTGTGGACACTGGAAATTGAACTACATTGTCTAGAAGAGCAGCCAGTGCTCTTAACCACTGACCCATGTCTCCAGCTCCTCAATTTAAAATTTTGATTCAAAAGAAAACCAATTGCTTTAACCAGATTCATAGTCTCTTTGCTGGTATTCTAAGGAAATTCAGGTCACCTTGGTGTTTCCAAAGCTTTATATGCAAAATGGTGGCAATAGCAGTCCCAAAGTCACTGATTCTCTTCAGTAAGAAAATAGGAATATGTTTAAAAAGCCAGTGTAGGCACTCACCTTAGGGAAGATCATAACACTGCTGTTTTGATAAAAATAATAATAATAATAAGTTGTGAAACTGTCTTCTAAATATTTGGTTTTAGTGTTGCCCGCAGCGTTGGCAAATGAAGTTCTTTTTGCAGTAAGCAACAGTTAATTCAGAGTCTCATAACTGAATAAAGCAATGAGACTATGTGATCAGTGAGTGCTCAGCCTTAAATGGGACTTATCACACACCACCACCATCACCAAGGCTCAGGGAATGTTGCCAAAGAAGGGGTCACACGAATGTAAGTGCCCAAGAATGTGTAAGAGTGCTGAGAAATACTGCCGTCTGGACGTGACAAGGCAATTACATCAGGAATGCACAACACTGATGCTTCCCCGCACACCATCCCTCCAGTCAACACGACAGAATGAACAGGGGAGAGGTGCTGAGGCCCTTCTCCTCCTGGGAAGCTACAGGCAGCTAATGATGACTGGGAGAGGAAAAGTCGTCTCTTCAGTGGTGTAGCCAAGGTGAACAATCATGATCTAGTAATAACCGAACATCCATGTTGATGCAAACAACCCTAATGAAACTTGGTAAGTCACTTAAAAAAGAAGAAGAAAAGAAAAAAGAAAAAGGAAGATGGCTCAATAGGTTAAAACACTAGC